AGCACTTTCAGACATACTGCAGCCATGAAAGGGGCTTTATAAGTTCTTGAAATATGTTAATGCAGTACGGTAGCTCAGTGGTTAGCACTGCTGCCTCACAGCGCTAGGGACCCAGGTTTGATTCCATCCTCGGCCAACTTTCTGTGCGAAGTTTTCACATCCTCCCCGTGTCTGCGTGGGTTTCTTCCAGTTCCTCTGGTCTCCTGCAACAGTCCAAAGATGTGCAGCTTAGGTGGATTGGCTATGGTAAATTACCCATACCGTCCAGGGATGTGCAGGTGAGGTGAGATAGCCAAGGGAAATACAGGGTTACAGGGACAGGGTAGGGGGCATTGGATCTGGGTAGGATGCTCTTTGGAGGGTCAGTGTGGACTTTTTTGGCTGAATGACCTGTTTCCACACTGTAGGGATTCTATTTTTCTCAGTTAAAATTAATAAAGCAAAGCTTCCCTGTGACAATTGATCACTGCTGAGTGACAAGGTCTCAGTCAGTGAGGTAACACAGCGTGGAGCTGGAGGAACACAGCAGGCCAGGCAGCTCAGAGGAGCAGGAAAGTTGACGTTTCGGGTCGGGACTCTTCTTCAGAAATGCAGTTAACTGTGTTATCTCTGACTCCAGCATCGGCAGTTCTTACTATCTCTCAGTCAGGGAGGCAGCTGGCAGTTTGAGAGAGGGAACAGGGTAAGGTTTGACCAGTGTTCCAGCATCTAAACTCAGTTACATAGGGAAATTGGAAAAGTTGGGATTGCCTTCCTTGAAAAAAAGAATGTTGAATGGAGATTTTGCAGAGATATTCAAAATTGTGTGGGGTCTGGACAGAACAAATTGGGAGAAGTTGTTCCCAATAGTGGAAGGACTGAGACTGAGACTGAGACTGCACAGTTTTAAGGTAATTGGTGATTGCTCAATGGTGAAAATGAGGAGAAATTCTTTCCCACAGCATGTGGTTAGAATCTGGAATATGATGTCTGAGATGAAGCAGGTTCAATCTTATTCAATTTACTGGGTGTTGCTAGCTGGGCCAGTATTTATCGCCAGTCCTTTGTTGCCCCTCGAGAAGGTGGTGGTGAGCTGCCTTCTTGAACCGCTGCAGTCCATGTGCTGTAGGTTGACCCACAATGCCATTAGGGATGGGATTGCAGTATTTTAACCCAGCAACACTGAAGGAACAGCAATAGATTTCCAAGTCTGGATGGTGAGTGACTTGGAGGAAAACTCGAAAGTAATACTCCCATATATCTGCTGCAGGGTGGCTGTAGTCAATATTAACAATTGCAATTCTAGAGATATCCAGAAACTTTGCAAACATTGCTTGTGAATGTTACTTTTGAGGGGGAGATTGATTTATATGGAATGTACAGAAACATGTAATGTACCAACAAGAGCACAGATCAGAAATTAAACAGGTAGACGTTCAAATCATTATACAACATGGTTTTATTTTATACAAGTAAATTAATGAGGTAACTTTACATTAATATTTCACTAGTTTCACATTACCGTCAAACATCAACATCTATTCATTCATTTTATTACTGGGGTGAATTTTAAACACAGGCCATTGGCATGCAAGAGATCGTCAGTGCTCGAGATTGGAAACATCTTTCCACTACTGGTGTCTCGAATCATCAACAAGAACTCCCAGGCTAAGAACAGAGCAGGCTAGATATATCATTTAATGCCAAGAATAAGCCACATTATAGGTAGCTTTGAATTATTTGTATTATCTTTATTATTTTTTAATCCGACTACAAAATGAGTTGAAATTGCTGGAACCTGTCTGAATTGGGATGTCACAGATGGCAATGAACAGAAGCAATCTAGTTCTGTGCAAAACCCTGTTACCCCAGATCCTGGGCTGTTAATAATCACTAAGTAGGTAGGTTTCACCATATTTTAATATTTAACTTTGTCTGTGAAGGCAACATTGGTACAAAATTTTCATTTTATGTGCCTCCAGCATTGGACATCAAAGTTGCATAAACCCAACAAAAATGTCCCCTTTACGTCCTTACCAAAAATCCAATTTGTGGCAAGTTAACTTGTATCTTAATTTGTACATCATCTTCCACTTGTACATTATCTCAGAAATTATACAATACCTCAGTACACATCACATGTACTTTGACAAAGGCAAATAAAGCAGGGACATTAACTTCTGCTCATTTCAAGTAGACATGCCATATATTTAAAAAAATTACAAATGCATAAACCCCCAGAGCTTTTTTTATCTCCCATTCACTGACCCGATGAGACAACACAGAAACATTCAACTCAACAATCTCCTTTTCGTCAATGCATTGTTTAAAATGTTCCATAATTGGTTGCTGCTCCGGTCAAACCAAGTCAATTTTACCTTGACTTCATTCACAGATGATCTCGTAGGTAGAAAATGTTATGGATTGCACCTCAATTTTTGTGTAAACAGAAATAAAGAAAACTGGCATTCTGTAGGTATTGTGTTACTATCTAAAATCAAAAAAAAATCAATGAGATTGCATCTCTAGGGTGGGGCGTGGAGTTTGCAGCTTGTTAAATCTGTAACCCGTGCAAATATAATGATGCATAGTCAATCACTAAAGTACCTGAGTCAGTTAAACATAAACATTAGGTTTTTATGTGTTTTCTTTTTATTTTCTGGATTCACCACCCCCCCAACCCCCACCTTAAGTTTTCAAATATTACACCGTGATGTTCCCTCCAATAGTACATCAGCAAGTGATTTGATTCAAGGGTGGGAGGGTTATCTACGAATTATGCTGCACAGAAAGCTGTCAGACAGCTTGCACAACCTGGGGGTTGGTGTTTTGAGTCATTCAATTGCCTGGATCCCCTCACTCTTTCGTTGTAGCCATCCAAATCTTTTCCTTTATCTACTTCCCTTTTGAAAGATAGTATGATCCTGAATCTGCTTCCACTGCCCTTTGCAGTAGTGTATTTCAGATCACAACATTGTCCTCTCTTAATATTGGTAGAAAATTGATGTAGAATGCAGTTTTGCCCATTGGCTCATTGGGCTCTTACTGTTCTACTGCAGCTACAGTCAACACTCTTTCTTTGTGTTAACGCAGTGTGGAGCTGGAAAAACACAGCAGGCCAGGCAGCATCAGAGGAACAGGAAAGTTGACGTTTTGGGTCGGGACCCTTCTTTGTGTTCCTGCCTTGATTTCTATACTTCCCAGTTGATACCTGACAGTCACAGAACCAAGGTAAGTGATCACAGCACAGTGCCCATGTGTGAAGAAGCAGCCTTCCATCTCAATCTGCATCACAAAATGGTAGAACTCCTGAATGCGTTGTGCTTCAAATGCAATGGAGTGAGCAAAGTATTTGAATGACAAACTTCGAGGGCATGGAGAGTAATTGTGAAGATTACAGGTTTAATGTAAGCAGTTGGAGAATAACAAGGAAAGGAAAACTTCACAGTAAGAAAAATGCACAGGGAATTGTGACTGACAAAGGTAACAGTACTGTCTCCAATCAGGTAGCAAATAGCAGTCTGTACCAGTTGTAAAGAAGTAATGCCACTTAAAAATACGACTCAATTCATGCTGAAAGCCAAAAAGTGCAGGATTGCAGTAATGTTTAAAATATTAGAAGAAGAGATGAGACTAGTTAGGTAATTACTTTAAGTTATAAATTTATCTAAATGCAACAAAAAAGGACCAAGGGAAGTAGAGATTTCGATTACACAAAAACACAGAAGATAGGAGCAGGAGTAGGCCATTTGACCCCACCATTTATTATCACCATGGTTGGTCATCGAGCTTAATACCCTAGTCCTCCTTCCCCCATATCCCTTGATCCCTTTTAGGTACAAGAGCTATATCCATCTCCTTCTTGAAAACACAATGTTTCGGTCTCAGCCACTTTCTGTGGTAGTGAACTCCACAGGCTCACCATGCTCTAGGGGAAGAAATTTCTTCTCATCTCAGTCCTAAAAAGTTTACCCCCTTGTCCTTAAACTATGGTCCCTGGTTCTGGACTCTCCCACCATCAGGAACATCCCTCCTGCATCTACGCTAACTATGAGATCCTGGGTTAGAGTGTGTTCAATCCTGAATTCAACCTTGCAAGGGTGGAGTAAGAACAAAGGCTGTTTGCATTGCATTGTATTGGAGCTTTGGCAAGAAGTCAGGCAGAATATCCAGAGTAGCATTGAGTAAGTAAAGTGGAAAATGTTACAAGATAGAAAAGTTGCAGGTTATAGGCAAGGTCACTTCCTAAGTAACTACTTCAAGGTATATTAAGTCAACGATTTTGGCATAGACCCAAGAACAGTCCAAGACCCTTTTTATTGGGATATCCTACCTAAATTCCTGATGGAAGAACTTCTACATACACTTCGACCCTGCCTTCAAAATGACACACTGTCCAATATGTGGAAATTTTCCCGTGTTGCTGATTTCCAGTCCCAGTTATTTTCTCCATTCCCAATGCATGATGAATGTGGCAGGGCTGGATTTGCTGCCAATATCACATCATTGATGTTCCTGACACATTTCAACTGGTTTTCCCAAAGTTCATGGAAGCATGCTGGTTTCGTCCAATGTCAACTGAACATGAATACGAGCTGATGAATTTGGTTTATATTTTCCTCCAGTTGCACACTACTGGTATTCTTGTGCTGTAACTAGATGGAGTTAATGGAACCGAGGTGGCAGGCTACAGCAGTGCTGACTTGATGACTTCAAAGCTGGAAAAAAAGCCTGCACAGAATGAAGAGACAAATGGAGCTGAATTTCAACAGCGTGTGGAATCTCCATCTTCCATTTACCCAGAAGGTGGTCGATGGTCAACCTGTTGAGCGCTTTTGTTCCATTTTTGTCACTTAGCGTTGTAACTTAGGCCCCAAGTGGAGGTTGCTTATCAGGTTTGATGCAAAAAGCTGAACATTCACTCCATCAAAAAAGGAACAATGTGATTTACCCATTTGGTTGGGGGAGACCAAAGTCAAACCCCCCCCCCCCCTCCCCTCCCCCACCCCATGACTGTCCTGTGTATATTAGGCAGCGTCACTGTACAAAATGGCCATTATTATATAATGCCCTGGTTTATATGGGGATGTGCATGTTTTGGTCTTTGGGTCAGTGATTTGGACAGGAATGAGTTTGTAAACTATCTTTCAAGCAGCCCAGCACCAGTTCACTGCGAGCCCAGACACTACTTGAGAATGAAACGTCCACACATGCACACAACCGAGAAACAGAATACTTTCCTAGAATCAACTGTTATTTGCATTTTTGCTCCATTGTGATTCGCATTGAAATGAGCACTTATTAAAACACTTAATCAAAATCTAAATGTTTCTACATGCAGTGTTGGTCTCATGCTTCAGTCTTTGCGCTGAAAGATTATAGCCATCAAGTTTAGGCATAAATGCCTTGTCCTTCTAGTCCAAACAAAATTAGCATCTCTTCTCTGATGCTTTGGATGTTACCATAAGATGATTTTCAACATGGATATTCTGGACATTCCAGTATATTTAACTTACATGATAGCTATTTTCATGCCTCACGTTTAACATAGAATGTAACGATCACCAGGCTGTTGTTAAGGGTGAATGCGAAGTGCTAACTCTTCAGTGTTACCGAGGTAAGATACTCTACAGCTGTCACCTGATCTTCGTCAAAGTATTCTCTCCATTTTTGGGTTTGTGAATGAAAAGTTGTTGAACATGTTTTGGTCCATGCTGTTGATGAGGGTCCTGTCTGCACACGACAGTCTGGGCTTCTCATTCAGGAATTCTTTGTCAAAGTTGCTGCAGTCACTTGATGATTTCTGTTAGATAGAAAATTAAAATATTTGAGAATCTAGGAGGTCCGTTAGTGCTCATTAATCAACAAGGCATCATAATGAACAAACATAGGAACGTACGGACTTTTAAACAGAACAATGCCAGTCCTCAGCACTGAGGTCAGGGATAATGGTGGGTACATCAGGTCCCAAGGGACTTCTGGGGTCCCACTGAGCTTGGGTCGGGGTCACAGGCTAGGAATAACACAAGGTCCTGTGATTTCAGATCCTGATCCAAACCATGCAACCTTTTATAAAATTCACTCATGTGACATGGGCATTGCTGACTGGGCCAGCATTTCTTACCCATCCCTAGTTGCCCTTGAAAAGGTGGTGGTGAGCCACCTTCTTGAACCACTGCAGTCCCTGTGCATTGAGTTGACCCACAATGTTTGGAGGGGGGTAGGGAATTCTAGGATTTTAACCCAGTGACAGTGAAAGAATGGTGAAGTATTCCCAAGTCAGGATGGTGAGTGGCTTGGAGGGGAGTTTTCAGGTGGTTTTCCCAAGTGTGGAATGAATATCCCGAGGAAGTGGCGGATGCAGGTACAGTTACAATGTTTAAAGTACACTTAGATAAGTACATGAATAGGAAAGGTTTAGAGAGACCTGGGGCCAAGTGCAGGCAGGTGGAATTAGTTTAGTTTGGGATTATGGTTAGCATGGACTGGTTGGACAAAAGGGTCTGTTTCCAAGCTGTATGACTCTAAAACTACCCCATCTTTGGATTGCACCTTATGCAAATGATTACCCAGCTCCCTCCTGAATTGTTAACGTTGTCCATCTGCATTGCTTCCTGAGCAGTCTGCCATCTATTTACTACCTCAGTGTAGAGCAGTGAAAATGGAACTGTCCCACCCATATTCCATCACTGTTTGTGCCAATGTGCTGAAAGAATGATCCAAATAGGAGAGTTTGCCTACAGTTGGTATCTGGGATGAACATGTTTCAAACAATTAAATTGCCTAACAAAATGACCAGCACCATAGAATTTGATAGGATAAAGGCATTTACAATGAAGCATTTTATTAATATATGTATCATTAACTGCTCTACAAAGTACCAATGTGTTGGGATGTGATAAATAGATCCCATGACAATAACTTGCCCCAGTCACTCCACTGTTGATCCTGAAGAGAACAGCCAATGTCACATTGAATCGGAGTGCCAAGATGTGGCTTGTAATTGTGGTAACACAGCAGAAATGAGGCTTGTCATTTGGTGAATCACAAAATGTGACATTATTGTATGGACCATGATAATTAAAGAAAACTGTTGTTGTACTTTGCCTTATAATTGGGTCAAAATCCATTGTAGAAATTGAATATAGATATTCATCAACTCCACCCCATTTATGTTTTAGTACGGTTTGTAAATTAGGTAATAAAAACAGACGGTGCTGCAGAAACTCAGCCCATCTGGCAGTATCTATGGGGAGAGAAACAAGTTAATGGCTCAAGTCCAGTACTGCTCTACTTTGGATGTAACTGGACTTGAAATTTTAAGCTCCATTTTTTCCACACTTGCCAGATCTGCTGAGTTTCTCCAGCATGCTCCATCTTTATTTCAGATCTCCAGCATCAGCCAGACTGTTGACTGAACATTGCTGCCTGCCTAGACTTCTGTTCTGTTTTAGCGCCGTTACAGTGCGTTGTAACTATGTAGCTTAGTCTATTCCCTTTGAAACATTTCCTGTTGCATTGCTTACCACCTTTCCCATCCTCTTTATGGCTTCCCATTCCTGACCCCCTGGCTGTTTCCTGTGTACTGACCCACCTTACAGCCTCTCTCACCATCCCATTCCTGACCCCCTGGCTGTTTCTTGTGTACTGACCCACCTTACAGCCTCTCTTACCACCCCATTCCTGAACCCTTGCTGTGAGCGATGGATAAGTTTGGTGGGAGGTGGGGGGAATGTGATGAGAAGATGTAGAAGGGAGGAGATCACTGGAGAATGAGAGACAGTGACACCTTCTATAAGGTCACCCCTCAGCTTCTGACATTCCAGGAAAAATAGCCCCAGCCTATTCAGCTTCTCTGTACAGCTCAAACCCTCCAACCATGTCAACATTCTTGTAAATCTTTTCTGAACTTTTTCAAGTTTCACAACATCTTTCCTATGGCAGGGAGACCAGAACTGGATGCAATATACCAAAAGTGGACTAACCAATGTCCTGTAAGCGCAACATGACCTCCTAACTCCTATACTCAATGCACTGTCCAATAAATGCAAGTGTACCAAACTCCTTCTTCACTATCCTGTCTACCTGGGACTCCATTTTGAAGGTCTCTCCACGGTCTTTTGATCAGCAACACTCCCCAGGACCTTACCATTAAGTATATAAGTCCTGCCCAGATTTGCCTTTCCAAAATGCAGCTCCTCACATTTATCTAAATTAATCTCCAGCTGCCACTCCTCGTCCCATCAGCCCATCTGATCAATGTCCAGTTGTACTCTGAGGTAACCTTTTTCACTACGGTCCACTACACTGCCAATTTTGGTGTCATCTGCAAACTTACTAACCATACCTCCTATGTTCACATCCAAATCATTTATATAAATGACAAAAATCAGGGGACTCAGCATCAGTATGTGGCTCACCACTGGTCACAGGCCTCCAGCCCAAAAAGCAACCCTCTACCACCACCCTCAGTATCCTCCCGTTGAGCCAATTTTGTGTCCAATTGGATTTTAATGCAAGAAATGTACACATCATGAATGGAACCCATCCGTACTGCATTTTTTTTTCTGGGAAAGTGATTTTTGATTAACACATTTTCATTTTGCGCACCATTTTGTTTAATATTACGAGTGTTAAACAAGGGGCAGCTACAGTTACAAGTTTCAGATCACTCTGATAAGCCCCATGAGGAGCTTATTTTTTGGGTGTGCAGGGTGTTGGGAGGGAGTATCAAATTCTAACATAACCAAGGGATATTACTGTAGACCCCCTCATGATCTGGACTGTGTATCATCCCTTTTACACACGTTCTCTCATTCATTCTTTCTACCTTTCAAGAGACAAAGATGGAACTTGATCCTGTGTCATATCTGACCAGGAATGTTTGGATGATGTAAATGAAGACACACCCCATACCATAGTCTTGGCTAGAATAAAATCCAACTCAAAAAATCATGTAAGTGATAGCAAAGCAACAGCAGTGTAACACTGTATCAGTCATTCAATCTCATTTGGAATAAAGTTTTAATACTGTATTGAATGTTATATTGCATTTGCTTATTTCTAACTGGGGATTCTACAGTGCATTGCATCTATCCAACAGGTAAAGTCCCAATGGTTACATTACCATGTCTGTGGGCTAATCTAGAAAGATCTGGACTTGAAAGCAAGTTTCAGCCATGGTGACCATGAAACTATCATTGATTGTTATGTAAACCCATTTGTAAACTAATATCCTTTAGGGAAAAAAAAATTGCTGTTCTGGTTAACATGTGACTCCAGACCTAAAGTATCTCAGTGAATTTCTGCAGTGCATCTTGTAGATGGTACACACTGCTGCTACTGAGCATCAGTGGTGGAGGGAGTGGAATTGGTGGACATGGTGCTTTTTCATGGATTGTGTTGAACTTCTTGAATGTTATTGGAGCTGCACCTTTCCAGGCAAGTGGGGAGAATTCAATCACCCTCCTGACTTGTGCCTTGTAGATGGTGGACAGGCTTCGGGGAGTCAGGAGGAGAGTTACTCACTGAAGGATTCCTACCTCGGACCAGCTCTTGTAGCCAAAATATTTATATGACTAGTCTAATTCAATTTCTGGTCAAAGGTAACCCCAGGATGTTGATGGTAACGGATTCAATCATTATGATGCCATTGAATGTCAAGGTTAGATTCTCTCTTGTTGAAGATGGTCATTTCCTGGTACATGTGTGACATAAATAGGACTTGACACTTGCCATTCCTGGAAAATAGTGAACACTTTTACAATTATGATAAAAACTATTGCAACCTGTTTCCTTTGTTACAGTAATCACAAGTTGGCATTGTTCTTGATCATTAAGCTACCTATTCATGTACCTAAAAGTGAAATTTGGATTCTCCCCTCAAGTTTGTGAAAACTCAGTCTCTCCAAGTCTCTGGCACTCCTAGACAGAAAGCCCCATTGACCCAACTCACAAAGAAACTTGAAATTCAAATAAATATCTCGGGTTTCCACAGGCGCCACATTAGGCAGAGCATTTTTAGAAACCTCCAATTGCAGAAGCTTTTCAGGTTTCACTGAGACTTATCCTTGGTCATAAAAATGAAATCAAAGAGAAAGATAATATAGCACAAGTAAGCATAAATTAAACAGAACATTGCAACAAACAGAACAAGAATGCCTTTGATGTTTTCTGCAACAGAAAGTCTGGTCACAATTATAAGAGGTACTCGCCTGAATTTTAGTTGTCAAGTTTCTTTATGAGCTGGGGCTATGGAACATTCTGTCTAGGACTTCCAAATTTGAAGATATCAAGAATGTTTGCAAATGTGGGAGAGGGAGAGTCCTGACAATGTCAACTTGCGATTAGAGAAGCAAAATGATGTTTCAAGGAAATAGGATGCAATAATTTTAACCCAAATTGTTAAAATGTTTTCTATTTTCAAGAGATTCATGTACGCACATTCATAGGCAATTCAAACTGAGGAAGTGCTCTGAAGGATTTTTAAAAATACTCTCAGTAAGTGACCTTTGATTTTCTCAGATCTCCACATGACCTTGTTATCAGTCAATAAATGTGGAGCTGGAAAAGCACAGCAGGTCAGACAGCATCCGAGGAGCAAGAAAGTCAATGTTTTGGGCCGAAACCTTTCGTCAGGACTGGGGAGGGGGAGGGGAGCCCAGAAATAAATGGGGGGCAGGGCTGGGCAGAGAGTGGGTGGGATGGAGATAGGTAGATACAGGTAGGGGGTTATTGTGGTTGGTCAGTGGGAAGGGTGGAGCAGATAGGTGAGTCGGAAGATGGACAGGTTGGGGGAGGAGAGATTTTGAAGCCAAGATATGTCCCTGCGTTATTGCTATGTGTGTTTGAATGTTGGATTGCTGCAGTTTTAATTATCTCACCTACAGCAGGTAACTACATTAGAAATACGGTATTAGTTTTGGTCAAGAATTTCCCTGTTTGCATTGGACTGTGATTTTTCCAGGGATTTACAGAGGTTCACCTTGGGTCTGGGGTGAGGAGAGGATTGTGTTTACAATGATATTGATCACTATTGGTATTGACCATCTATTAGCAGTGCAAATAGCCAGTGCAATCTGGGTCTTTGACATGGAAACAGCTGCTGTGGCAATGCCAGGTCACCTCATAGCATGTGAAAAGACCAGCAGCATAGCAAAGGCCATCCTGCCCCTCAGCTGCTGTGACTCAATCTGAGCAGACACTGAGATGGAACACTCAGTAACGGTTACAAATAACCATCATGCTCCAAGGCCTGTGACCAGCCTCTGAAATCTGTAGCTTGGAGTGAGGAAGCCTGCACTTTAGACATGACATGGCCAGGAGTACTGCTGAGGGGCAGAATGGGCTTTGCTATGCTGCTGGTTTTTGGTACATGTAGCACATGCTATGAGGTGATCTGGCATTGCCACAGCCAGTGGTGTTTTCACTCAACCCTCTTCCTCTGCTTCCCCTTCTCAATCATTTGTTGCAAAAACAGAAATCGCTGGAAAAGCTCAGCAGGTCTTGCAGCATCTGTGAAGGAAAAAATCAGAGTTGATGTTTCGGGTCTGGCGACCCTTCCTCAGAACTGTTCTGAGAAAGGGTCACTGGACACGAAACGTCTACTCTGATACTTTTTCTTCACAGATGCTGCCAGACCTGCTGGGCTTTTCCAGCACCTCCTGTTTTTGTTCCTGATTTACAGCATCCGCAGTTCTTTTGGTTTTTATTACAATCCTTTGATGGTTCAGCTTGACTGGATTTCTAAAAGTTGTAGGAAAACTTTAGCTGCCGGCTTCAATCAGTGACCCCTTTGCAAGTGAGATATTGTGGCCAATAATCCAACTTACACAATTGATGAAATAAGGCAGAAACTGGTGTCCACCCTTTTCCAGTTTGTAGCCACATTTTGTTGCTATGTGCCGCTCATGTGCTGCATTCTGCAATACCCTGTAGCTTGAGGCGACTGCTATCAAACAAAACTATCTGACATTCAGCCAGGAAAGCTCATAAGTACTTATGCTTCTGAATAACATTTTGTTGTCTGAAAGTTTGATATCATTCTAATTAGTGTTTTCTACTTAACCTCATTGTGATATTTACTAACATAACAAGACACACATTACTAACAAAATAACTGAACAAGAAAACACAACCAGGTAAAAATTGGATGGGCAAGATGGAAAAAAAACAAACTCAAATGAAATCATTATCTTACCACCAACAACTCAAACAGAAAATCGCTGGGAAAGCTCAGCAGGTCTGGCAGCATCTGTAGAGAGAAATCAGAGTTAACGTTTCTGGTCAAGTGAACCTTCCTCGGAACGTTAATTCTGATTTCTCCTTACAGGTGCTGCCAGACCTGCAGATCTCTTCCAGCAATTTGTGTTTTTGTTTCTGATTTACAGCATCCACAGTTCTTTTGGTTTTCATTATCTTACCACAGTGGGTTTGAAAGGCGGCTCCACTTCCCTGTTTTCCAACGCCTGCCAGTTAATGTCTCGGAAAAAGGCATGTTGCCGAATGCTTCCTTTAATTCCAAGTCTCCTCTCTGGCTCCCTAACAAAGAGCTAATACGGGCAACAGGGGAGTTACTTCGTCAATGTCTAATACAACAGTAACACACGTTCGTACAGTCACCTGTAAACTTTCAATTTACTTTGAAACATTTGTTCAGAGAGTAAAAACATAAATTGGCTAATGTTAAACTGTTAGGGCCTGCAGCTTGATTCACCTTTTTAAGAATTTAACCACTGATATTTTAAAAAATTGTTTATTCATTGTTGTCTCGCTCCCCTTCCCGTGGTCAATGACCATAAGCTTCATTGCTATCAGTATTCACTGTGCAACTCAAGTGATCAAGCTTCATTTGGGAAACAGGACAGTGAGTGACAGGCAACTATTTGACCATATGCAGCATCACAGCTGAGCTCTATATGTATCCAATATTCATCTTCCAGCTGCAGATGCTGATTGGGAGCATGGGCCATGGCTAATTTCTTCCTATGACATCCTATGAGTGTTGGATTTAACTACTGTACCCAAGGGAGGTGGTGGCATGATGGTAATATCACTGGACTGGTAACTCCAAACCCCAGACCCCTGGTCTGGGAATGAGGGTTCAAATCTCATTGTGGAAGATGACTGAATGTTGAATTCTATAGTTTTTTAAAAATCTGGAATTAAAAGCTACTGCTGACCATGTCAATTATTGTAAAATCTCATCTGCCCTCCTTACCTGGACTGGTCTATATGTGGCTGCAAACTCACATCAATGTGGTTGACTCTTAACTGCCCACTGGGCAAATTATGAGCTTGATGCCGACTTCCAACGAGCAAATTTAAAAAATCAGAAAACTAGTTACAAATTGGAGACTGGACTCAAGCTAAAATATCAGCAGATGTGTATCAATGAAATGGAGCAGGACAGAGCTCTGTTGCACATTCTGTTTTCGTTAGTACATCCAGATCTACGAAAGGCCACGGAGGTTGGTGTAGATCCAGATTTCACGAAATGAGTCGCATTTATAAAGCACTCCTCATTGGGCCAGAGGTCTTGGAGCACCTGATCTGGTGTTGCTGGCCATGTCACAGGCACAGACTAGGTTTGAAGAACAATGTTTCATCAGTATCACACCCAACTCCAAATTGCAAACTTATGGATTCAAGTTCCCATTGACAAAATAAATCACTTACCAGCAGCACTGAGTGAGACTGCACTGCTGGAGGGACCATGTTTCAGATAAAAAGTTAAACCAAAGCCTATCGACCCTTTTGAGTAGATATAAAAGATCCCATGACAAAGACAACTAGAGAGGATTGTTCCTGGTATCATAACCAATATTTATGCCTCAATTAGTAGAATTATAAAATTTTAACAGTACAAAAGGGGGCCATTTGATCCATTGACTCTGTACCAGCTCCAGAAAGAGCTACCCAGCTGGTTCCATTCTCCAGCCCTATCGGTGTAGCCCTCTAAATTCATCACTTTCAAGTATGTACCCAGCTCTCTTTTGAAACCTCAAAAGAAAAAGAAACAGATCATTTGGTTATTAGCACATTGCTGATCATGAGAATTTGCGAAGCACAAATGTTTGTTGTGTTTCCTACATTTTAACAGTGATTACATTGCTAAGTATTAAAAGTACTTAATGGGCTGTAAAGCACTTAGCATCACACAGTGGTTGTGAAATGTGCTATATAAGTGTTGGTCTTTGTTTTTTCTTCTTTGATGTTAGCTCAGTGTCTTAGTTCAGAAGATCAGGTGGTGGAGTAGAAATGGAGCCAATCTTTCCACATTTTGATAAGCACTTTTTTTGACAGTGAAATATGTTATAAGTGTACACCTTCTCACCCAACAAAAACAATTTTAGTCTGTTCCTATGCCCACTACCTCCAGCCAGTTAAAGACAATTAACTACAGCACCACATGACCACTGATATCCGTTCCATTAAATACTGAAGTACATTTTTTTAGCATGTATGCAAAGTTAGTCTGAATTTCATATAGGGGAGGCCGAGGCCTAGTGGTATTATCACTGGACTGTTAATCCAGAGACCCAGATAGCATTCTGGGGACACTGGTTCGAATCCCGCCATAGCAGATGGTGGAATTTGAATTCAATAAAATATCTGAAATTAAGAATCTAATGATGACCATGAATACATTGTCGATTGTCAGGAAAACCCATCTAGATCACTAATGCCCTTTAGGGAAGGAAGCTGCCATCCTTACCTGGTCTGGCCTACATGTGACTCCAGACCCATAGCAATGTGGTTGACTCTTAACTGCCCTCTGGGCAATTAGGGACGGGCAATAAATGCTGCCTGGTCAGCGACACCCTCACCCAGCGAACAAATGAAGGAAAAAAAAATGATAGCGGTTGTAAAGTGGTAATGTCCCTTCCTCTGAGTCAGGAGGCCTGAGTTCAAACCCACCTGCTTCAGAAGTATGTAATAGCATCTCTAAACGGGTTAGTTCAAAATAACTAGAAGAAAATTGTAATTATGGAACAGTGCAATTTGCACAGTGCAGATGCACCCATCTTGAACAATGTGCTAGGGTGTGTAGGGTTTGGATCAAAAATAGTATCTTCAAACCAGACCATTAAGGGTTAATGGTTTATGGTTAATTGGATATGAAAATCAGCAATTGAAGTAAAGTGGAAAAGTGCATGAGAAACAGGCCGAATGCAAAAGCGTGGGTCCACCTATTTTTGAGAGCTGGGAAAGTACTGAAGGTACCACCACATAATGATACAGCACATAATTGGAATAGTATTAGTATCAGGGACTCTGTCCCACTCGGTGGACTTTCCCCATTGGACTGGGATCATGGACTTTTCCCTATTGGAGTGGGGTTTAGGGGCCGATGCACTGGAAACTGTGATTGAGGTCCAAATGACAGCTGTCACCCAGGAATCTCTGAAGGACAGGAGACAGTGAGACTCGTTTGTTGAATATGTCAAAAGTGGTTTAAGCTAATTTAAGATTCACTCATCAGTTTGCATTTATCTAAATTACGTTAAGCTAATAAAATTGTTTTATATCAAACACACGTTTTCTTGTATTCCTTTTGAGCAGACCTTAAAAAATGGTTGAAGACATTTTTAGCCTAGCAATACAGGGCCTAGCAGAGTGAATAGTAAATGAAAATTGTAGAATCCCTGCAGTGTGGAAGCAGGCCATTTGGCCCATTAAGTCCACACTGCCCCTCTGAAGTGCATCCCACCCAGACCCATCCTATCCCTGAAACCCTGCATTTCCCATGACTAATCCATCTAGCTAGCACATCCCTGGACACTACGGGCAATTTAGCATGGCCAATCCACCAAACCTGCACATCTTTGGACTGTGGGAGGAAACCGGAGGAAACCCACGCAGACACGGGGAGAATGTGCAAACTCCACACAGACAGTCACCCGAGGCTGGAATCAAACCCAACTAACTCCCTGGTGCTGTGAGGCAGCAGTGCTAACCACTGAGCCACCGTGCCATCCCAAAAATAAATGCATTCATCTGCAATGAAGGGGAACTGACATTGTCTTGATGTCAGGATTAATTTGGGACTTAAGGGAGGCTGAATTAAAAAAAGACACAAACTCTTACTTTGACGAGGATGTCTTTTGCCTCTTTGCCTAGCCAGCGAGGGTAGATGGGGTCATCTGTGCGGATGGATTGAAACAGCTCGTCCTCATCGTTGCCATGGAAAGGAGACTGGCCAATCAACATCTCGTAGAGGAGAACTCCGAAGGACCACCAATCCACTGACGTGCTGTACCTCTGTCCCAGCAGGATCTGCTTAGTGAAAGAGGTTTATAACGGGACAGTCAGAACTTACAGCACCTTACACCCATGTTTCTTAGCAACATTGTGGGTGAAGATCTTTACCATCACAAAGCCAAATCTGTAAGGAATGAATACGACGCATCAATTTCAGCGAATGTCTCTTTGAACTGCTGCAGTCCCTCAGCTCTAGGTATATCCACAGGGCTGTTAGGGAGTGAAGTTTGAGTGGAGGGAGGGAGTGAGTGGCTTTTGATCCAGTGACTTTGAAGGAATAGTGGTATAGTTCCAAATCAAGATGGTGTGTGGCTTGGAGGGGAATTTCTGAATGATGATGCTTCATTACATCTCCTTTTGTTTCCAGGTGGTAGAGGTCAAGGATGAAGGAGCCTTGGTGAGTTGGTGCACAGCATCTTGTAGATGGTACACATGACTCCTACCGATTATTGGTGGTGAAGGGAGTGAATATTGAAGATGTTAGATGTTATGCCAATCAAATGGGTTGTTTTGTCCCAGGTATTGTTGAATTTCTCGAGTGTTGTTGAAGCTGCACTAATTCAGGCAAATGGAGAGCACCCCATTACCCTTCTGACTTGTGTCTTGTAGAAGATGGACAGAATTTGATGATTTAGATGAATTACTTGCCACAGAGTTTGAAGTCTCCAATCTGTGTTTGTATCCACAGTATATGTTTTAGTTAGTCCAGTTCAGCTTCAATTGTAACCCCCAGGAAGTTGATAATTGGGGAAACTTCAGTGATAGTAATGCCATCAAATGCCAAGGAGAAATGCTTAAATTCTCTCTTTTTGGAGATGGTCGTTACCTGGCATGTCTTTGGCACAAATATTATTTTAAAAGCATCGCGATATTAACGTCTAACATTTTGCACTGTCTGTTCTCATCAGTGGATACTGTACATGAACATACATTAGTAAGCTATACACACAGCTGTGATTAAACTTTTAGAAGACTTGAAACTCTGTTGCAAATGGTAAAACCATCAGGATATCAAGCATTCAAATTAAAGCAAAATACTGCAGATGCTGGAATTTCTGAAATAAATCCGGAAGTGCTGGAAAAACTCAGTGGATCTGGCAGCATCAGTGGAGAGAGAAACAGAGTTAACAACTGGAGTCTAGTTACACTCTTCTTCAGAACTTTGGGTTCATGTGGGACTTGAAACGTTTTGAAGTCCCACAT